TTTATTTTTGGATGTTTTTTCGCAGCAGGTTTTGGATTTTTTTGGGGTTCCTGCTTCTCTGCTTACATTGCTTCTCTGCTTTTCCTGCTTCTCTGCTTTTCTGCTTTTTGCTTTCCCTGCTTCTCTGCTTTTCCTGCTTTTTGCTTTTCCTGTTTCTTTGCTTTTCTGCTTTTTGTTTTCCCTGCTTCTCTGCTTATCCTGCTTTTCTGCGTTTTGCTTTCCCTGCTTCTCTGCTTTTCCTGCTTTCCTGCTTTTCTGCTTTTTGCTTTTCCTGCTTCTTTGCTTATCCTGCTTTTCTGCTTTTTGTTTTCCCTGCTTCTCTGCTTTTCCTGCTTTTCCTGCTTCTTTGCTTTTCTGCTTCTCTGTTTTCCCTGCTTCTCTGCTTTTGTACTTCTGTGCCTTTCTACTTCTCCACTTCTATATACTTTTCTTTTCTTCAGTCATGTGTTTTTGCTGCTCTACTTCCTGCTCCTTTGCTTCTTTGCTTCCTGTCTTTACTGTCTCTTTGTTTTTCATTTTCTGTTGCTTTATTCTGTTCTGTTTGTATCCTAAATGAAACCCTAGAGAGACCCTGGGTGAAACCAAAAGAAACCTTAAAGAAATCCTGATAAGTACTGATAAGAAACCCTACATGAAGCCCTAAATGACCCTAAAGAAACCATAAATGAACCTTAAAAAAACATAAATTACTTTACTTCGTGTGATCCCCACCATGACATTTATACATTTTGTTACTGGCAAATCTTCCGGCATTCTATTTGGCATACCTTCTGGCATTCTATCTGGCATATCTTCTGGCATTCTACCTGGCATATCTTCTGGCATATCTTCCGGCATTCTATCTGGCATATCTTCTGGCATATTATCTGGCAAATCTTCTGGCATTCTATCTGGCATACCTTCTGGCATTCTATCTGGCATACCTTCTGGCATTCTATCTGGCATATCTTCTGGCATTCTACCTGGCATATCTTCTGGCATATCTTCCGGCATTCTATCTGGCATATCTTCTGGCATATCTTCCGGCATTCTATCTGGCATATCTTCTGGCATATTATCTGGCAAATCTTCTGGCATTCTATCTGGCAAACATTCTGGCACTTTATCTGGCATATCTTCTGGCATTCTATCTGGCATTTTGTCTGGCATTCTATCTGGCATACCTTCTGGCATATCTTCTGGCATTCTATCTGACATTCTATCTGGCATATCTTCTGGCATTCTATCTGGCATTCTATGTGGCATTCTATCTGGCATATCTTCTGGCATTCTATCTGGCCGTTGAGGTCCAGCAGTGCACACTGGGCTGGGCAGGTCCCCGGTTGAGGTCCAGCGGTGCACACTGAGCTGGGCAGATCCCAGGTTGAGGTCCAGCGGTGCACACTGAGCTGGAACGGTCCCAGGTTGAGGTCCAGCGGTGCACACTGAGCTGGGAACTTGGCAAAGAGCTTGGCGCAGAGAGTCGGCGAAGAGAGTTGGCAAAGAGCTGGGCGAAGAGTTGGCAAGGCGGAAGTGCAGGTGGAAGTTGACGCAGACATGGTCGAGGAGAAACTGGAGGAGGAGGCGAGGAGGAGGACGAGGGGGAAGAGGACAGCTAGTCGAGGAGGAGGACGAGGAGGAGGACGAGGACGCGGAGGAAGAGCGCTCTGATAAAATCTCACCTGGCAGGTGGGGAATTAATCCTCCAGAAACCTTAAATGAAACCCCAAAGAAGCTTTAATGATACCCTAAATGGCATCCCAAAGAAACCCTAAACAACACTCTGGAAAAAAACAAATGAGACCTTAACTGACACCTTAGCTGAAACCCTATATAAATTGACACCCTAAAGATACCCTAAATGAAACCCTACATTGAAACCCTAAATGAAACCCTTAATTGAAACCCTAAATGAAACCCTAAAGGAGCCCTAAAGGAACCCACTTGAACGTTTAGAAATCGTGAAAAAATCCTGATAAGAAACCCTGGAATGAAACCCTAAAGAAAACTTATATGAATTCCCGAATGAAACCTTAAATTGAAACCCTAAATTGAAACCGTAAAGAAACCCTAAATGAAACCCTAAAGAAACTCTAAATGAAACCCTAAATAAAACCCCACATGAAGCCCTAAATGAAACCCTAAATGAAACCTTAAATGACACCCTAAATGAAAACATGAACGTTTGAAGTACCAAAATGTAGCAAATACAATGCAAATGAGAGGTTGAAATGCCAAAATGTGACAAATACCATGCAAAATGGAAGGCGAACATGGCCAAATGTAGCAAATACCATTCAAAATGCAAAGTGACCATGCCCAAATGTAGCAAATACCATGCAAAATGACAGGTTCTAGTTCCAAACTGTTGCAAATACAAGGCAAATGGTACCAGGAAAGAGAACAAAAAAACAACACCTGAGGCAAAGAACATACCAAAAACTATTCTACACCCATTTATCCATAATAGTACTGAGTTGCATGTAATTTGTCATCGTTCCAATAGGTCATTTATCTGTCATCCAGGTACTGAAAGAAAGTTGCTGTGTCTCATGGCCGGTCACGGCCCCAGCGAGGCAAATCAACAACCTGGAGGATTTCTCTGCCGAGCTCCAGCGACTCTGCCAGCCCGAGCCTTCGGGCCTCGAAGGGCGCCCCGAAGGGCGCCTAGGCGCCGCGCCCTTCTTCCGAGTGACCAGTGGCTACACGCAAGCGTCACACCGAGAGTTGCAGAAGCTCAACAGATCTTTGAGACTGGACTTCAATGAGCAGGAACTAGTAATGAGTCATGGTGGTTTCATGGTGGTTTCAATTCTCTTTGTGATTGTTTTGTTTTTCCATTCTTGGAAGAACTGGTTTTCATCAGCAATCACGGGATATAGTGGAGAATTCTACATACATTATGGCTGTGTGGTGTTTTTTTTTTTGCTGCCCTTTCTGGGAATAAATATTCTGAAGGGCTTACATTTGTTTATATCTTTTTGGCAGGCCGTAAGCACGAACCGAAAAGCGGACAAGGACATAAACTGTTGGTAACCCAGTATGGTGACTAGTTCCCGAATGTGGTCTATGTTCCATGGTTTCAACTGTTTTAAGGCGACAGCTTACCACTACTACCAGCAATTATGAGTTGAATCCCGTTGTGGGATCTGAGTCATCGTGATGCTTGTATAGCAAGGGAAACCACGCAAAATTGGAATCATTGTGTTTTCTACATACAGTTACATGGCACATCCAGGGTAGCAGGTAGGTAGTAGTTGTGGCCAATACAACTAGCTATATACATTATTGCGCCACGGTTGTTTAAGCTAACATTTGTTATGTAGCTATTTCATTGCTTTGTTTATTATATATATACATATCTATATATATATATACTATATATATATATATATGCTCCAGGTTCGGGGACCCCCCCTCCCCCCATGGTCATGGTTCCCCCCTCCTCCCTGTGGATGTGGGAGTTGGGTGGGTCCTGTATATATGTATATGTATATATGTATATATATATATATTTAGTATTTATGTATATATGTATATATGTATATATGTATATATGTATATATGTATATATGTATATATGTATATATGTATATATGTATAGATGTATAGATGTATATATGTATATATGTATAGATGTATAGATGTATATATGTATATATGTATGTATATATGTATATATGTATATATGTATATATGTATATATGTATATATGTGTATATGTATATATGTATATATGTATATATGTATATATGTATATATGTATATATGTATATTTGTATATTTGTATATATGTATATTTGTATATTTGTATATATGTATATATGTATATATGTATATATGTATATATGTATATATGTATATATGTATTTATGTATTTATGTATATACATATCTGTATATATGTATTTATGTATACATGTATATGTATATACATATCTGTATATATGTATTTATGTATACATGTATATATGTATATATATATATAGTATATGTATATATATATATGTATATATGTATATATATATATATATGTATATATGTATATATGTATACATGTATTTTTGTATACATGTAAATGTATATATATATATATATATTTGCAGTATTTTTGTATTTATATATATATATATTCAGTATATATGTATATATGTGTATATGTATATATGTATAGATGTGTATATGTATATATGTATATATGTATACATGTATACATGTATACATATTTATATAGTATATAAGTATATATGTATATATGTATATATATGTATATCTGTATATATGTGTATATGTGTATCTGTATATCTGTATATCTGTATATATATGTATATATTTAAATATGTATATATGTATAGATGTGTATATGTATATATGTATTTATTTATATTTGTATATATGTATACATGTATACATACATTTATATATAGTATATAAGTACATATGTATATATGTAAATGTATATATATATGTATATATGTATACATGTATATATGTATATATGTATACGTGTATATGTGTATATATGTAAATAAATTTGTGTATGTGTATAAAGAGGTAATATAACCATACTCTTTAGTTCCTATATAAGTAGGTGTTGCTTCCAAAATGCTGTACATACCATGGAAATATGAGGTTTTGCATCCAAAATGCTGTAAATACCATGGAAATGAAAGATTCTAGGTTAGGAAGTAGGGGACCATACCATTTGGGGGGGGGCTACGGGACCGGGGACCGGGATCACATATATATATATATATCTGTGTGTGTGTAATTTTGTAAGTACCCAAACTAATCAAAATGCGATTCCAACTGATTTTTCATCAACAAAAGCCAGCAGAGAAGGCTCCGAGTATCACTATTGCACTATATAGGGCTACCTACTTTTCTTTTTTTTGGGAGGTGCCATATGCCATCCCCCCAACTGACGCTGAAATTAGCTCATTTTGAGAAGAACAAAATAAATTGTCAACAAATGATCAAACTACATCACAAATATAGTATAGATAGCAAGACTTCACAAAGTTATAGTATGGTTTCTATAAACTCTAGTTGTCATTATCAAAAATATGTAATTGTTCTATATGTCTATCATTACTGGTGTCCATATGTTTCCATATTGTTTTGATGTTTATTATATGTTTATATTACTTTGACAGTAAACATGAGTTATTCACTTTTTTTTTGCCAAAATGAAACCAAGGCAAAATTAATATACATTTGCTTTTAGTCAGTCAAAGTGTCTATTGTTATTAAATATAGACTGTAATTAGTTTGGTTTTAATAGTGGTGATGGTCGAAGTGATACTAGATAATTATTTCCTATACATGGTTCTGATTATGATTTTGAACATTCTAATGTATTCTATTTATCACATGGTGAATAACTGTTGAAAACTATGTGGTAAATGAGCACCACATTGTATATTGATATAGTGTTTTTCAAGATATATTGCATGCTTGCCCATTAAAACGTTTTTGTCCATGGCATCTCGTTATTCAATGGATTGGTTTTGTTCTGACAATCTTCACCAGAAACCAATTGTCCCATTAAATATGGGGTTTTCCGGTTCCAATTTTCCCTTAAACCAATCCAGTAATGTTACCTATAGAAACCAATCCTGTAAATTTTCCCTTAAACCAATCCTGTAAATTTTCCCTTAAACCAATCCTGTAAATTTTCCCTTAAACCAATAGAATATTTACCTATTTTATCTATGGTGATTTTAGCCATTGAAATAAACTATTTTTTAGCCATCCGCCTCCGGGCTCCCCAAGGTCGCGCCTTTCCAACGAAGACCTGGAGGCGCTCCGCGACACGCTGCGCATCGGCCTGCATGAGGAGGTGCAAGTGACGGCCACCGCATGGGGAGCCAAGCGCTTGGCGACGGAGGAGCAGAGACTTGGTGATTTTTTTTGGGGGAGGATCTCACCGTGTGATGAAAAATGGTGATTTAGTGGTGATTTAATGGTGGTTTGAGGGGATTTGATGGGATTTGATGGCGATTTGATGGGATCAGCTCAACTTGATGGACAAAATTTGGTGTATATGTACCCTCTGGTTATACAGTTTCCCATATTCTCATGATATTTCCAGCATATTCCCATGAAATCCCATACTTGGAGGATCATCCCACTTAGTGGTCAATACTACAGAGTTCACTGATTATACACCACTCCACTTCTTTATGCAACTTGATGGTGAACAAAATTTGGTGTTAGAATGATCTATACACATGTTTTTATGGTTTACATGTTTTTGTTGATTTGTACATATACAGGAGGTGCCAGAATTCTAGAACGAAATTCGGAGTACAAAACTACGGTAAAATACCGTACCTTCGTACTCCTCCGGATCCCGATTCCGCGCGGATTCGGATCCTGTTCAATAATTTGTTTTTCTGTTCTATAATTACTTTTTCTGTTCTATAATTTCTGGCACTGGCATGATATCTATTGCATATTTGTATACAGTACGAGAACGGTTTACGCAAAATTAATTATAGAACGGAAAAACGAATTATACAACGAAACTGGTAAATGTGGGAAACATGGGAACACACAATTATAGAACAAACCAGAATTATAGAACGATGGAAAAAAAGGAGTAAGTTAAGATAAGTTTTATTCATACCTTCCGAGGAAAACAGAATTGTGGAACAACAGGGTACGGTAAATAACGGTACCTTCGTACTCCTCAACTTCCGTTCTATAAATTTGGTACCTACCATATATATTTATATATACACACATATTTATAGCTGTATATATATATATATATACACATTTTTTTTAAAGGTGTGTATATATATATACACATGTGTATTACTTCTTTTAGGTGTTGTTGTACTTTGCTATATGGTGTTTGTGATGAAAACGATGTTCTTCATTGTCGTAGTAGTGTATTTGAACCTACTGTATATCTTCGCCTATTGTGACAATGATTATATGTATGTACATTTGATTTACTGTAACAGTACCGATCATCATCATCATGAAGCTAGTCATGTACGAACAATGGCAATAGTAACCTCAATCATAGTAGGAACAAGTGGTATGGTCCACTGTTTTTCAACTGTTGCAAAAACGATAGTAATAAAACATGAATAATAAACATAAGAAAACATCTGATGATATTACTAACAATAGTGATAATCAGGGTTATTGTAAGATATAAAGAACTATGTAGCCAACAACATGACCAACGACCGGGTAGCGGAAGTTTGTTGGTGAAAATTCACACCATTCAGAATGGGATGTAGCCATGAATTGCAGTGGTCTTAATGGTCTCAACCACTTTTAACATTAAACATAAGGGATATTACTGATGAAACATGTTGGTTGGCAATGTGAAAAAGGCTGTTTTTAATAATAGAAAAATGTTGATTAAACATTGCTGATGATGGTTGGTATATTTTTCTATTACTCAACATAATTATAATGGTATATTGATGTATATTGATGGTTGGTATATTTTTTTTTATGATGATGGTCTCAATTTCCCATCACTGGCCTCTTTTAATATACTGATGGTGGTTGGTTGAAGATTCATAGTTGCCATTTTATGATGTTATAGTAGGCATAGAACAGGAAACAATGGGATATATAACGCATATATAACGCATATGATGTAAGCCCAGATGATGTAAGATGACCGAGGCGGGTGTGCTCTCCGGTATTCAAACATGGCTGGAAAATCCCACATTTTGTTCGATGATTTTCCCCGCGAACCTGCCATGTTGGGGATTTTCCAGCCACGTTTGATGACTGGAGGCTACTTCAATTTGAAGACCAACTGGTGTAACCAGTAGTTTTTTTTTGTGTGTGTTAGTTCTCCAATCAAAAACGGGACACACCCCGCGAGCGACTTCGTTTTCACCAGGGTTTTTCATATTTCACAGCTTGGAACTCGAGATTTAACCCGGTAATTCTTTAGATCTCCAACGAAATCCAAGTATAGATGATTTATCGATCCCTGCTGTTAAATTTAAAATGGATTCGGTATAGTTGAAATGGATCATCCATAACAAGATCTATATTGAACAGAACCCATTTAGTTCGATGATTTCTCATTAAAATCTCCATTTTGGGGAATTTCCCGTTGCCATGGCCATGTTTACGGAGGCTAAGACACAGCTCTGACAACAATTTGATAATATTGATACCATTTGCCACCGAATACTGGGTATAAAGATCAGGGAAGGCCGTCCAGTGGGTTTGATACCTGTTGGCACTTGGAATGTGCCGGACATGTAGCATGTCAGCGATTCCAAAGTCTTTTTCTTGATGACATGGACAGATGGTGCACCTCTCACTTTACATTTGAAGCCACCTCTGCTGCCGACATCTTTGACTGAGGCTAGTGACGCAAGTGTTTGGTTCTGCCTGTTCAGTGGCTTACAATCGGGCCTCTTGGCAGCCATCGGTCGGCGGCTGGTGGACAGAGATATTCGGTGTCAAGCAGGTTCGGCTTGTTTATATTGTTCGTCATAAGAGAACATAGAATTTATAGAGAGATAGAGAGCGATTTACATACAAATATGTATGTGTACATATATATATATATATACATAATATATATATACACATAATATATATATATACATATATATATATGGTCAGTTGGTGTCACATTTGGCAAAATTAAAATCTGCAGGCAACCCTCCAAAGAGCAGATCCAGCTACTTCATGGTTCACCCTACTGACTAAGAAAGTCCTGTCCATCAGCACGGACTGATTCTGAGTGGGTTTATGTTTGAGTTGACTAGGCAGCATAGACTGTCAGGCGTTGATGCGGCTTGCTTGGATGCTTGCCCGGTATTTTGTTTTGGTTTGTTGGTGGTAATAGTTGCTGGTCTCATTCCCCACGTATGATGCTCCATATATATAATATATTGTATATAACATCATATAACCATACTTGCAGGGGTTATATCATGTTATATCCCAACTCATGGTGGTTATTAGCATGGTTCTACCCCATGATTTTCAGCTGCTCCACATGAACCAGGACAGTTCCAGCGAAGATTGGCAGCCCTTGGCAACGCTGATCTTAGAGGCATCATATGAGGCGAAGCCGTGGGGCACTTGCCATGGGCTGGTGCCTTCAAAAAAGGGTAATATTGGATGCAAGTTGCAGATAGAAATGGAAGATACTGAAATGATATACTATACATATTATATAATTGATTTTATTTTATGCAGATAGATAGATGGATGGATGGATGGATGGATGGATGGATGGATAGATAGATAGATAGATAGATAGATATACATATGGTGTGCCAATATATTTTACAGTAACATATACATCCATGCGTCTAAACAACGCATGATGATATGATCTGATATGGAATGACACTTTACTTTGTATGACATGTCCTGCGAGATGCTGGCGGGAGGCAACTCTTTTGGCAGCCTTGAAGCAAGCGAAAAAACATGCTGGACAGGAGGGCTCAAAGAAAGTCTTCCTGACTTGCTTGGGAGGTGGTGTTTTTGGCAATTCCATGGATCCTTGCCTGCATTTTTTGGATCAAAAACAGCTTGTTATTGATTGGAGGGCAGTTCCAATTGACGAAGATAGATACCCTGGGGCGGGCTGACATAGATATGGACAATCACCGTTTTTCATGGCTAATTCATCCACAAGTGGGCAATTTTCCACATCTATGTTACTTTACCCCAGGGTGCCAGGGTATGTTACAGCCTCGAAGCCCAAACTGCCCGGAAAGGGGTTTATCGACCTTGAGTGTCCGACACTGGGAAATGTTCAAGCCTGTCACAGCCTACTCGGGTGTGGAACCTAGGAATTACAAGTGCTGAGTAGGCACTGCATTGTAAGGCACACATGTATATAATATACATATATATATATACATTCAGTACATATACATATATATATATATATACGTACACAGACATACATATACATACATATGTACATACAACGTACATACACATACATATACATACTTACATAATATATATATACATACATATACATACTTACGCATATATATATATATAATTATACATGTATGCAGTCAGTTACTCTTAGGGATATATATTTTGTTTTTGCTGCGCCAGAGCTAGCTAGCCGGCTTTTTGGCATTCTGGAATTCGAGAGCATATGCCCGGTTCTGCTCCGCTATAGTATATACATTCCAAGAGACAACGTATGTGAGTTGTGAATGTATTCATATGTATGTACATATATATATCTCTCTCTCTCTCTATTTGTGAAAATGTGCAAAGACAACCTCGTTATTTTACAGTAATGCTGCTGTACATATTATGTTCTTCCTAGTGGTTACACATGTAGCCAGGATTTGCAGCCAAGGAGTGGATCGTGCAGGCCATGGACCGTGCGTTTCAGCGGCTGCACGGCGCGGATTTGGACGTGCGCATCGTGACCTATGCAGGTGCGGCAGGTGAGCCCAAGGGTCATCTTTTCGGGAGGTTGCTTCCAGCCCCAATGAAGTGTACAGGGTGGTGCCCCAGTTAATCGGTAAGTTGGTGGAAATAAGTCCAATTTCACTCTGGTTTTTGTTGGTGATATACCGAACTAGTTTTCATGGGATTATAAGCCATTAATAACTGGGGGGGCACCACCTTGTCGTGTTCAATATATTGGGGATAGTCACCACTCATGAGCTGGGAGCCTCTATTAAATCACAGTTTTGAACACTGCTTGGTGACGGTGAAAGCTGTGTGTCTTGAAATGGAGTTACACCCGAAAATAGCAACCTGAAAGATGTGGAAAACCAATGGTTGCCCCATGAAACTGCGTATGGTCGTTTTCCATGGTAATTTACCAGGATATTTAGTATTTTCATCATTATGTTGATGGAAAAACATGATAAGACATGATAAATCCTGTATTTTGGGGTACCTGGTGCCACATTTTTTGGACAAAGCCATGTATGATCCCGTTGTTGTTGGTGGGTTACCATGCTGAAAACTTCTGGTAAAACAAGCTTCAGAATTTCAGGACATCCCAATGTATCCAGTTACCCTCTGGTAAACTAACAGTTTGCTATTGAAAATGGCCATAGAAATAGTGGATTTACCATGATTTACCCAGCTATAAAATGGGATAAAATGCTGATTTTCAACGTCAACAAGTTAATTTACCAGAGGGTAATTGCAACATATTAAGCACTGTTCTGGATAAATTATAGCGACCGTAAAGGGCAACGTCACTGGAATGATGGTTACAACGGCGCACGTTTTTTTTTGCAAATTGGAGATTATGAAATAATTCATCCAGAAACCTGGGTCTCAAAATTATTGGCCCCCAACTAATGGTTAGAGACTAAAAAAAGATACCCTCTGGTAAACTAACATAACTATGGAAAATCACCATTTTCAATGGGTAAATCCACTATTTCGACTGGGCCATTTTCAAGTTCGCAAGCTGTTAGTCATTACCTGAGGGTAGATTAACCATTACCCTGTTGGCATCGGCCATAGCGATGCCGCAAGAGTATATGAAGCCCATAGAACCAGACAACTGGCAGCATGTTTTTCCGTAGTGAAGAATGCCCACAACATTGAATCAACAATTTATTTCTGTGTGTTTGCCATTCAACAGGTTTTTTTTTGGGTAGATCATGACCGGTCTTTTCCCATAGGTAAGGAGCTGGTATGCCGAACTCTTAAGGCTGGATAACTGTTGGTTTTAATTTATCAATGCGGGCCCCCCCAGTTATGTTTGATGGTTACAAACCCCATGAATCCTATAATATCCTATAGTTATTTGCGTATCATAAACCATAGTTATTGGAGTTATAAACGCACCAGCTGAATGCTATCGTAAACCGTGGCCCACATTGAAGTGATGAAGTTTGACGTCCATCCCCAGGATGTGGCAGGGCTGTGAATAAATCTGCCCGTAATTAGAAACTGCCCCAAAAACGACACAAAACAAAAAACGATCCAATCTACTTAGCCGTTTTTGGTAGGTATTTCATTTTGGTGGAAGGGGTTCTATATGATAAAAAAAAAACACATTGTATCAAAATGACCAGACTTCTTAGATAGCTGGAGTAAACAGCCTCATGGCACTGAGGGATGTTCCTCCCGAAAAAAGAATAGATATCACCCTCCAATCACTACCCTGGGCACATGGAGCCAGGAGATGATGTAGATACCCATCCCCCTCGCAGGGATGGCAGGGATCCTGGCGATCCCCAATCGATAGATGTTGGTGTATTTGCCCATGTTCGTTTTGGGCTTTTGTGGTTGCGGGCTAGCTTGGTTGCTTCAGGTTGATATAAACTAAAACATGCCCCATGCCTTAAAAAAATATTCCAGGGTATCAACTAGGTTATTTTACTAAAACACTAAAATACTCTAAAACACTAAAACCATTCCATAACAATTCCATAACATAATTAGAACCAACACTAAAACAACCATGACTAAAACCATTCCAGAACCAGATGCTTGGCCAAAAACACCGTGGCCAGGCTCGCCAGGTCCCGAGCTCAGATGCTTGGAACGCTGAGCGAACGCTGGGCGGAAAAAACACCTTTGCGGTTTTTGGAGCGACGCGGGATGCGACGAGTTCGGGTCAAAACATTGAAAAACAGACATGTTTTCCCCGATTGGAATAATTATTGAAGCATTGGAAGAATCATTATTTGAATGTAAGCTACAAACATTTGAAGTATTGGAATAATTGTTAAAAAAAACGATTCTAGACACTTGTGGATAATATCGACCTTGATATATGATGTTTTTTACTAGATAATTACTTGTGGATATAGACCTTGATGACTGATAATTTCACGGGTTCGGTTTGCTTTTGAGTGTTTCATAAAATGAAACCATTGTGGGAAGATAACACGCCCCGCTACAAAATGACCTGTTTTGCCAGGTTGCCAAAATTAACTATGTTTTGCTTGTGATGTTCAGGCGTAGTTAATTATGGGGGCACGTGTCAGAAGATATTTGGACTGGAAGGCGCATTGGCTGCTCCACTAGGCTCGAGCAAAAACATGATAGATTTCACGCATCAATGACCAGGAAGCCGCTTTAAAAGAACAACAACAACAACAACAACGACGCCAAACTTGAGTCCTAGGGTGCTAGATCCCAACCAGTGCCTGGATTGGATACCCGGATACCCAACTCAACCCAACCTAGAGTATAGTCACTGTTAGTTGTTAAACGTTGACATAACGATGGAACATCACCATTGTTTATAGGTAAATCAGGCACATTTTAATAGCTATGTTGGCTATGTTAAATTACCAGAGGGTAGACTAGGTATTCTAGGCTGGCTTTGGTGATTTTGTGGGTTTTGCTCAGATCTACATGTCATATCATGCCAAGTGAATTAGATTGATCACCCCCAATTTCTTTCGGATGTTAGCACTTCTCTAGGCATTCCACAAGAAATATCTTCACCCATGCCAGCGAAGCCGACAACATGCCCATGGCCCAGACGACCCGTGCGTGTGCTGCTGATCGGTTTGCTGACGTTTGGATGTGCTTTTTGCACCTTGACATAAACTGGCTGCTGAAATGTGATGAAGTTTTCCTTGCTTTTTGGGGGGCTGTTTGATGAATGAAGTTGCGATGCCTTGTTGGAACCAGGACAGAAGCCGTGCATACTCTCACCGTATCCTAATCAAACAGCGCCCAAAATCCTTTGGTTTGCAAGTGCCTGTAGTTAAAAATACAGGGGGTACAGACATTTAGAGGCACAACTCTGGCACGGCATTTGGCCCCGCAATCCAATGTCCCAGAGCTGTGTTTTACCGTATTTTCCAGTGTGCCCTAATGTTGTGTCATCTACATGCGTGTTCACCAGTGGGAGTCCAAAACTTGTCCCCCCTCAAAACTCTCAAACCTCTCAAAGACTCCAACATAGCGTGGTAAACCTATAATATTAAAGCATCCCAGTTTTACCAGTGCCCCGGTCAGACCGTTTCTGACATAGATAAACCAGTCCGAAGTGGACATTTATGATTGGTTTACGACATAAAGAGATCAAAAGCAGCAACAAAAGCAGTGGCAACAGCCAGGTGGTTCATGCCCTCCCAGGCATGGCCCTGTCGGGGGGGAAAAGCCGCATGTCATCGGCGATTTTGCGAGGCTTCACAGTAGTGATGTCTAGTGCTTTTCCAGCTGCAAGTATGTCCAGGTCATCAACGTGGCAGATAGATAGATAGATAGATAGATAAGATAGATAAGATTAGATAGAGAAGATTAGATAGATTAGATTAGATAGATTGGATTAGATAGATTATATTATATAAACAGATTAGATTAGATAGATTTGATGAGGTAGATCAGGTTAGATAGATTAGATTGACAGATTAGATTAGATAGATTAGATAGATTAGATAAATAGATTAGATAGATTAGATTAGATTAGATTAGATTAGATAGATTAGATTAGCTAGATAGAGTAGATTAGGTAGATTAGATTGGATAGATTAGATTATATAGATAGATTAGATAGATTAGCTAGATAGATTAGCTAGATAGATTAGCTAGATAGATTAGCTAGATAGATTAGCTAGATAGATAGATAGATAGAAAGAGAGATAAGATAAGATAAGATTAGATTAGATTAGACTAGATAGATAGGTAGATAGATAGATAGATAGACAGGTAGATAGATAGATAGACAGGTAGATAGATAGATAGATAGATAGGATAGATAGGATAAGATAGATAGATATGATAAAATGAATAGACATGATAAGATAGATAAGATAAGAAAGATAGATAGATATATAGATAGATAGACTGATAGATCGATAGATAGATATACTGTAAGATAAGATAAAATAAACATACATTAGAATAGTATAGATCGATGAATGGGTTGATTGATGGATAGATTGATAAATAGATAGATAGATAGATAGATAAGATAAGATAAGATAAGATGAGATAATATAAGATAAGATAAACTTACATCAGATTGGATAGATCGATGGATGAATGGATTGATGGATGGATAGATAGATATATAGATAGATAAATATACAGACAAACATACACACACACATATTTAATATACATATATATGATAGTATATAGACGTGGATAATTGATGGAGTCAACTTGAGACTTGATCTGAGACCACCCCAAGACTTGTACCATGAAGAACATCAGCCTTCGGGTTGTAAGGGCCGAGCAAACGTCGGCTGATTTACATGTCATGGTTACAGTGGGGGTGGCGATGTGAAGAGCTTGGGCAATGTCGGCGTGCATGTTAATACCACAAGCAACCCTCCTAAATGCCTAAATGGTCCCCCCAAAATGAACAGATCGACTACTAAACCGTAGTTATTTGTGGTTTGGCACTAACTCCCAAATCCAAAATCATCCAAAATCCCATTTCTATCCACATGTGAAACATGGATTCAGCGGGTCTGCAGGATCACCTCGAGGCTTTAACCAGCAGTACTTTGATGTTGCCAGAATGAGCTAAGTGTTAGTAAGTGGGGTATATAGTATACATATCTAATATACGTTTATTATAGGTGTATAAATATATATATATATATATAGTTTTATTTTTTATTTGTATACATCCCAGTTAGGAACTGGCATAGATCATCCAGTTCCTATAAGCACTTAGGTAGCTATGACAAGCATCTAGAACACGATTCTGGAAGGCAACCAAATGCTGACAGCGCCTGTCAGGAGTCGGAACTCGCGAAGAGATGCTACGGCATCAGCGGCATCAGCATGGAAGGATGAAAACTGGGTCGGGGCCGAACACACTCAGACTGGTTGGTGGTTTGGAACATGGCTTTTATTTTTCCATATATTGGGAATAATAATCCCAACTGACTAATTAATATTTTTCAGAGGGGTTGAAACCACCGACCAGCAGATTTTCAGGGTAGTTTGGGAGGATTAACGTTATAGTAGTAAAGCAAATTCAATAAACCACCAATTTGTTGATGGAGTTGATAGTTTATACCACCCATTTAAGAGTGTATGGAAAAATTGGGGATGGTTTACTATTGTTTTACCAACATTGGCTTAGATAGGTTTGCCTAGATACACGGAGGGAGCAGACAAATATACAGTGTGTATATATATATATACGTAATAAATTATATATATAGTGTATATATATATTTACAGCTATTGTTCATATATTTATATATGCATGAACTGCCAAGTTTCATGGATGATCATTCGAGGGTCCCAGTATCATGGAATCCTACTTATGACTAATGTTTTTGAAGGGTCCTTTCCCATGCGTAATGAGTTCAGGGAAATTGGATACACACATGCAAGAAACATAATATTTACAAACCATAGGATATTACAATGTTGGTTTCTAAACTGCCAAGATGTTGCAAATCCCAAATTGGCGAGTCGAACACATGCATGGTTTTCCTGCAACATTTCCTAGTCGGCTGGGACAGCGACTTGCGGACGGCGGCAACGCGGACGGCGGGTGAGTTCGAAATCGGGCCATGGCGAGTTTGACGATGGTGGGACCCACCCTGAGACAATACGTCCATCGTGTCTTGGTGTAGTTTGGTGGAGGGTGGAGATAGGGAGCTATGAAGCAATTAGTCCCATAAAGACGATGATAACGACCCCCCTCAGAACTTGGCTTACTCCCAAGTGACAAAGTCGGCGCGCTTTGATTATTTTGGCATCGTACAACATTGTTTTTCATTTGGCACAAATCGTTGCGAGACGGGTGTGCCGTGTAGTTCTGCATCTTGAAGTGTGCAAAAACACAGATGTAATTTTGCTAAATCTTGTTGCGGGCAAGTTTTTTTCTCAAATCCATACGATATTGGGAACACATTTTGGAATGGGCGCACTGATACATACATCTGTTTGGGTGCGGTTTAAGGGTGCTTTTGCTGATTCTTGTTGCATAGATCATGATTTCAGTCGTGGTGTTGTGTGCCATGGGGTTTTGTTGCCCGACACCATTCTGCAATGACTTCCTGCTGGGTCCCAGTGATTCAATCTGCTGTATTTGATTGTTTTTGTAGAATGGCAAAAAATGTACCCTCTGGGAATGACTAACATAGCTATTGAAAATGGCCCATTGAAATAGTTGATTTACCTATTTAAAATGGTGATATTTTCCATAGTTATGTGACAGTTTACCAACTAACAGTGACTATACTCTAGCTTGAGTTGAGTTGGGTATTTGGGTGTCCAATTCAGGCACTGGTTGGGATCTAGCACCCTAGGTTTCGTTGTTTTCTCCTACTCAGATGGTACCCCGTCTGCCGGGGATCGGCCAGGCTATGTACCCAAGTTGCTAAGCGCACAGCATGTGCGCAATTGGGCTGCTTGGAGTGAGTGGAATCCCGTGGATGGTCAAGCTTACCAGGCACGCCCAAGGGACCCAAGGGATCCAAGGGTGCAACGGTCGCACTGAGGGTATGAAGAGGTAGAGCAGTAGATCATAGTAGATCAATTTTGGAAATTGACACGCACTCACACAACTAATTACATGACTACATACCTATGTTAATATGCACAAACGGCTTTTATGAACTTCTGGCAGATAGATA